AATATGTTATTAATTAAATTAATACATATAATATTATAAATTTTAATAAATTAAAATAATTAATTATGAAATAATATAAAATTTATTTTTTTAATATTTTAAATGATATAATTTAAGTGCAAAATTTTAAACCTATAAAATTACTAAAATAATTCATTATGAAATAATATAAAATTTATTTTTTTAATATTTTAAATGATATAATTTAAGTGCAAAATTTTAAACCTATAAAATTACTTCATTTTATCATTTTTTTTTTCTTTCCTTTTGGCCGAAGTTGACATTTTCTTAGGCCTCGCTTTCAATAGAGCAACGGTGGGGTTTGCTTCCCTCGTTTCGTTTGAAGTATTTTCGTATTTATGTCAGAATGCAGGGCTAATTCTGTCAAATGGTGATAGGAGTGTTTTGGTAATTTCATTAATGGGACAAAGTGGGGGATGGTCTTATAAATTTGTGCTGCTTATTTATTTTTTATTATTATTATTTTGGGAAACATCTTTGTTGGTTTGTGGCTTGCGTAAGAAACCAGAAAAAGAAAGTTAAAAATGAATCAGAGAGAAGGAATCTAAGGTGGAATTGCAGCGAGAAGTTCAAATTTAATTTAGAAGAAAAAATATTTAATTATTTAAATAATTCAAGTGAATATTTTTTTAAAAATAAAAAATTTTAAATTTAAATCGCAGTATGATAGGATAATAAATGGAAGATGGTTGACTCTTATTATTTAATTAAAATAATTAATAATAATAAAACAAAAAAAAATAATTTTTTTTTCTCAAAACATAGAGAAAACTTTGACAATCTTGGGCCTATTTGGTGTGGCTTGTGATAGCTTTAGCTTTTTAAGTATTGTTATAAGTGATAAGTTTAAATTTTTATTGGAGGGAAAATAGAATTTTAACTTTTTGGAATGTGAAAAAAAAAGTGAAAAATAAGTAAAAATGAAGTTTATGAAAAGTTTGAATTTGAAACTTTTAAACTTTTATTATTTAAGAGTTTTTTGAGGTTAAAAAAATATTTAAAAATATAAATTTTTAAGAGAAAAATTTAAATTCATGAAACATGAATACTATTCAAAAGCTGAAGCTCCTAGTAACTACACCAAATAGGCTTATGCTACAACGTTTTCTTATATAATAATTTGTTTGATATTAAATGCATGAAATCTGACGGCCTGAAAAAAGAAGTGCATGAAATCTAGATGCATTCCAGTTCACATGTAACTCTAAAGGAAAAGAACTCATGTGCGACATTATTTGGTTTAATTTAATTTTTTTGACTTTTATAGACAATTTTAAATAAGACTTTGACATGGTACATATATGATAATTGATTTTTTTTAATTAAATAAAATTATTCAACAAAAATTACATATAAGAACAAAATATTTTAATTGTCTATATATATATTTAAAAAAAAATTATATGAAATGATGATCTCTAAAAATTTTAAAAATCAAATTAGAACAATGAATGTTTACCATGATAAATATATATTGTTTTAGACATAGAATATAATTAAATATAAGTGTAC